AACCTTCACAGCAAGAGTATACTTTTAAAAAATCCTCATTAGATTTGTTTTGATTATTATTTTTAGTAGATTTTTTAGTATCTTCATTCTTAGTTACTGGATACTGGTTCTATTACACTGTCTGATCAGGCTGTAATTACATTCTCAATTATTGTAAGAAAAAATATTTTATTCTTGAATAAATTCAATTTATTCAAAAATATTTAAATAAATTGTTATGAAAAGATCCACTTTGTGAAAAAATGTAGACTTGGCCTTGGGGGTGGGAAAGGAATGAACAAACTGTTAAGGGGGGATTGTCAGAAAAGATGATTTAGTCTAGAGAAAGAAGAAAATGTGAGAAACTCAAAATAATTCTGCCTTGCTTTTCTTTGGTGTAAGATGAGGCAGAGAGAAAGAGGCTTCCAAGGTTCTGTTATTCTACCCTACAACAATTCAGAGCGTTCCAGGAATCCTCACCACACCCGCCCTTGACCTTGCCTACCTCAAAGGGCTGACATACTTTTTTAACAAAACAGATAAAACATGATTATGTATTCTTATTTTTAATGAACAGACAATCCATAAATGTAATAGCTGTTTGGAATATTTCAAGGCATATCCCTGTGCTCATATTATATAATAGCACATGCTTCAAGGAAAAATTAATAATTTAGATAATTGTACTTCCATCTCAACAAATGGTGGAATGGTGGAAATAAAGTAGAATCTTGACTAAAAAAGGGGCCAAACCCCAACATTATATTAAGAGAGATCACATAACTTTCTAGCTGTGTCCATTATGATTTTACACTTCCAGGTAGAATTCAAGGTGCTGGTTCTTACTTTTAAAGCCCTTCATGATGGGCAGAAATAAGGTTGTCCTGCAAAAAACCGGGCCCTGCACCATGTGACCCCTTTTAAAATTTTAACTCTGAAGTTGGGCTCAGTTCCTGGTGAATCATAACATTCTTTTGGGAACAGTGTAGTTTGCCATTTCCTTCTTTCAGGCTATTTTGACTTCCCAGTCTGGCCTACAGTCTTGGTATTCCCTAGTGGTCTCCTATCCAAGTAATAAATAGTCCCCGATCTGCTTAGCTTCTACACCCAAATGTTGACCTGATGCTGCCATATGTTGACTTTTTTTTTTCTTTTTGCATCTTTCAGTTAGTGTTGCCTCCTGGTGACTGCCTAGACTAGTCCCTGCAGTTTTCTTGGCAGCATTTTCAAAAGTGGTTTGCCATTGCCTGTTTCCTAGAGCTGAGAGGGAGTGACTGGCCCAAAGTCACTCAGCTGGCTTCGTGCCTAAGGCAGGACTAGAAGTTACCATCTCCTGGTTTCTAGCCCGGTACCTTAACCACTAGAAAATTAAATATCACTATTATTTTGGCAACTTCCAAGATTACCCTAATAGACTTCTGCTGTGCACATTAATACAGACAGGAAAGTGATTGGAATTTGAGAGTTTGTGAACATTTTTTAAAATTCAAGAATATGAGTTGAAGTTTTTTTGGGAAGGCAGTGTTTTAATTCAGAATAGCCCTATTCAAAATGTTCTATCAGTATATTTTGAGTTGACGCTGTTCTGTTGGAGCAAAACTCTAAACAACTTCAGTGTTTCATGCTTTGACTGTTCCAGCCATAGGAAACAATGGGAACTTGGGACAAAAAGCTATTCCCTTGTTTCCCCCTCAGAGTTGCAAGAGTAGGTAAAGTTGTAGTCAAAGGAGAATGCTCCCTTCTATCCATATTGCAGAAAGTTTGGCCAAGAACATTATGTTGAAAATACTTTTGGAAAAAAAATATTCCCATAGGAAATAATGGGAATACATTATGCTTTCAACAACCGAGAAACATTTAGATGTGCGTTTGTTACCCCACCCCACCACTGGAAACAAGAGAGGTCTTCCTTTAAATTAACATTCTGATTTGCTCAGCTAGACTATGGGACAATGGCAACTAAGCTTTGAATCATATCTTCAATTAGTAGCTGTTCCCTAAGACATTTTAAGAACTTTGTTTTTTTAAAAAAGTAATCTGGTTGGTGAATTTTCTGTAGGCACATTTTTTTTAAGCCAGGGGCAAGCCCAAGAAAAGCACAGCTATATTCTTCTTTCTCAGTGGTTCTACTTGTACAGCAGGTGGCTGCGCATTGCCAAAAAAAAGAGAAAAAGTTTGTTTCCTAATGGCAGAGATAACATTAAGATGACAAGAAAACAGAAAAGCATGCACCGTATGCATTTGCACACCAAAATTCATCAAAACACAAGCCAAGAAGCCCCTGGTAGTTTTTGCATTTCTCCAACTCCAGCAGTATTAGCACTTGGGAATGTGTGTGTGTGAAGCAAATGAATGCACGTGCACATGTTCATTCCTGCTTACCTGCCTCCAAAATAAAGCACAGCCATCAGCCAACTCGCATGGAACCCATCCATCTGCTCACAAGAACTTTCCGGTAGCAAAATAAATTTTTTAAAAGCACTAACTTGGCATGCTAGGAGGCATGTGGCTGCGAGCAGCCTTTTTCTATTTGGCCATATGCTTAATTGCTCTTTTCCTCTTGATACTCTATTCCCCAATCACCTCATCCAATTTAAACAAACAGCAGCAAGGACCTAATTAGTCTCTGCTGCTGTTTTAGTTAGTCTGGAAAAAGATGAGGGTGGGGAATAGCCTATCACAAGTCAGAAAAGGAAGAATCCAGTCATAGTCTTGGAGCAATCAGAACACTCAAATTAGGCCCCTTGAAACAGGTTTTGTTTGACATTCCAAATAAAGTATCATATGCAGTAATGAGGAAGACTTGAGATGAAAATGTTTTAAACCACCTCACTCAAGAACTCGCTTACTTATGGACATTGGAACCTACAGTTTTGGATGTAAAGTCAGTTATTTGGTCACTAGGATCATTAATTCCTTCATCTATGTGGCTCAAAAATACAGGTACTGTATTTACAACCACTCATTCAGCGACCATTCAAAATTATGATGTGAACAAGTGGGACTATGGCATTACAACAAACCAGGGTCACGTGATCACCATTTGCAACCTTCACAGCCAGCTTCCCACAAACAAAGCCAATGGGGAAGCCGGCAGGGAAGGTTGCAAGTCATTCCTGCCACTTTTTCTCCTGAGGGGCCCCACTATGGAGTACAAGATCCCAGGGATCTCATGCTTCATAACACCCCCCCACCAGCCCACTCTCTGTAATGTGCCCCCGCTGACCTGCCCACATTCCCCAGCACTCACCCACGGCATTTGCTGGCCCGGCCTGCACACCCCAGCGCCTGCCTGCAGCCCTAACCGGCCCGCCCATACTCTCTAGTGCCCACCCACAGCACCTCCCTGGCCCCTTTACCTGGGACTCCTGCCTCTTCCCACTTAAGGACCACACAGTCCTGGGGTTACAATGGCAATCAGGACTGCTTAGATTGCTATTGCTAAGCAATGCAGTCACGTGACATTGCACTATACAACCGCATCACTTAACGATAGCAATCCTGGTCCCAACTGCTGTTGTAACCCAAGGACTACCTATAATATATTCAAGGCCTTATAGCTTAGTTTGAGATGACTATCAGAGTATCAACTACTATGTAATATGGATGAAAACATGCTCTTGAATTATGATTGTCAGGCTAAAACCTTGTTGAAGTGCTAAGCATAACAGATAAACTTCACCTATGTTGGTTATAACTACAACCCCCTTCGCCCAGATCCTTCCTCCTCTAAATCCCTCTATCCTAGAATGCTAGCATTTCTTTCAGCGTAACATAAATGACTCATCTATCTCCTTTCCAAAGTCCACCCAAAAAGCATCTGGCTTCTCTTATCTAGAGAGAAGTACAATATTGCCCCTTAGTGGCATTAAGTTTCTGAAAACATATTTGTATTAATATATACTACAAATCCTGTCTCCCCAAACCTTTATCTTAAAACAAAGAGGGTCAATATTGATTTGGCTTATTTTTTATTCAAGTTACAAAACAGAAGCAGTTGGTAAAGTCCACTCAAGGCAGGGATGAAAAAACAAGGCTGTTTTAAAACCGGGAGCTGCTGTAAGAGCAAAAGCAACCTACATAAGGAGAGAAGTGTTCAGACACTCTTGGCCTGGCCTGGCCAGCCATTTGGGGGAAGGGGGGGGGGGGAGAAAAAAAATAGGAATGGGTAAAGAGAAAATAGGTTCCCACCCAAAGCAGCAGCATTAGCTAAGGTCAAAGGACCACACACCACCTGCTCCTAGTCTTGTTGCACAACAGACTTAAGAGCCTGGAGGGTTTCCTCTCCCTAAATTGCCTCTTTTTGTTTGCTTCTTCCATTTAGCATAGGGGAAAGGCTGCCTCTGCAGACTGCTTAATGGGTTCCTCAGCTTGGTAGACACCTACAAACTGGGACACAAAGTGATAACCTGGGTGCACTTAGCCTCACAGCAAAGGAAGGAAAAGAGCATGAGAGCCCTTGCACTTTGCAGCCCTGTCTTCAAGGCTGAAATACTTGCACACCTTTATTGAAATGCTTGAAATAGCTCTTGGTCCATCTGAAGTATTCACCCTGGAGCTAACTCTATATTAAACAGAGGCATTAACTGCAACAAAGGGCCATGGCAGCCACACAGCCTTTTCCTCCTAGTAGTGTCTGAATGTTAAAGGAATAGTACTCCTTTTGTGGTATTATAGATCTCCAGACTAGAGTTAGCAGAGGTGGAAAGTTTGACATCATTTCAATTACAGTCACAGAGTTAGGAACTGTTCTAATTAATGGCCAGAAGAATACAATAGGAAAAAATCATTGCCTTCTGATGTGTTAGGAACAATCCTTTAGGAAGCTGAGGATATAGTATGTTATTGTCTCCTCTGTTTTCCCAAGAGTTAAAACTCTAAGATCCCCAGTCACAATGGCCAACCTTATAAAAAAGAACAAATCAGGAGACTCTTATGAAAATGCCATTTCTAGACAGGAAGAAACAAAGAGGCCTCCCTGTTTACAGCTAGATGCAGCTTCAAAGGTACTCCTAAGAGGGTCAAATGACCAGATCAACATTTATTGAACTTACATGTAAACAGTGAATAACAAGAAAACTGGGGAACACTTTCCAAGCCTGCTCAACTGAACCAGACAGGCAGTGCCCAGCTCGGTGCTCAACTGATCATTGCAATGAAGCCCACACTTTGAAATGGGCTTGTCTGTCCCGACTGTGTTTGCTGGTGTCATAATCCTCAAAGACATGGTGAGAAGTTGCTATAGAAAGGGCCTGCAGTCCAGGTGGCTACTGACAGTCTAATGAGCTGTCCACGCATGCCTGACAGGATTTGGAAGAGGTCATTGGTTCCTGGCTCTCTGTAAACCTGAGCTGTTTCCTCCTGGTTTCTGCCACCTCCTTGGCTTTCACTGTGGAGGAAGGGGGATACCCCTGGGGTCGGTGACTTGGCCTTCCTGGAGATTCTTGACCAGCTGCGCTAGCCAACGCTTGGTGGTGGTATCGTCTTTCAGAACTTGGGCAAAGGTGGTGTCTTTCAGCTGATCAGGAAGGCACTGCCTGAGGGCTTCCCGTGCCCTACATCAAGAGACAAGAAAAAGGGGGCCAACAAATAAACTCACATGGACAAGAGGGGAGCATGCCCCTCTCCTGAATATACAATTACTGTCCTTCACATAAGAAACAAACTGACCCAGATATCATCATGTTACATCTCTATAACCTATATCTTTCCCTTATCCTTCCTACCACATTCCCTGGAGTGCTGTACATTAACGTACTGAAGGAGTTAAACATTCCTGTGAAAAGTGGTGGATAGAAGGGAAATGACTGCTGCTTGACTAAATAATTGTAGAAATGCATCTGGACTCTGCGAAAGAAGGATAGATTCATTTGTAGCCCTGGACTGATATCTTAGATCTCTGCTTAAACAATTTGATCATTGCTCTTTAAAATCTCTGTGAGGAAGCTTAAAGGATCCACCCAGACCCTAAGCTAATAGTACTTATTTTGGAGGCAGAACCTTCATCAGTTTTTACTTGACAGATGCTCTGCATATGGGAAAGAACTGGATTATTACCCTAGCACTGCAAACTGCACTATGACTAGTTCCAAGGGCAGTACCCTCCCTAACCTAACCAAAAGATCCTTAGAAACTTCTAAGATGTCTACCTTGGATTATCGGAAAGGCGAAGGTAACAACGGACAACGTGTTTCAGCAGCCTGGCAGAAGGCTCCTTGGAAAGTTGTAAGACCATTTTACCCTAGGTTAAAAAAAAAAAAGAGCATAATGAAGAAATGTGTTGACTTGCTCATACTCATTCCTCACTGCTTTTGCTGCCCAATGCTCAATTCAATTTAACATAAAGCCTTTTCGGGCAGCAAAACAGCCTTTTGTACATTACTCTGCAAAGTGTTACACGTACTGGAGTATGTACATAGAATTTGCTTTATTTAAAGGACTTCTATGGTAGCCCATCTTATATATAACAACCCTGGGCAGCTCACAAAAACAAGAGTAATCATATACAAAAACAGTAAACCCACCATCAAAAACAATTCCCAACGCCCCAAAACAATACTCCCCCCATATGTTAACAGTCACATTTACAAGGATCCAGCCTGACCTTAGCCCAACACGTGGGGGAAGAGCTAGCTTTTCAAGGCCTTCAAGGTGGGGGCCTGTTGGATCTCAGGGGGGAGGGTATTCCACAGGGCAAGGGCTGCTATGGAGAAAGTGCACCTCCTAGGTCCTGCAGATGACAACATTTAAGGGAAAGGACCTGGAACTGTCCACCCTATCCAGCATAATGGAATGGGTAGATACCCTCAGGAAGAGTGGTCCCACAAATAACCTGGCCCTGCGCCATGCAGGGCTTCAAATATAATAACCAAAACTCTATGTTGAGCTATATATAACAGCCTACCAATATCATTGCAACGTGAGAAAATCGCTCATAAGTCTGACAGATGTAAGCCAGTCCCGTATCATCTAACAGGATCTTCTGTAGAATAAAAGTAGCAACCTGAAAGATAGAAAAGAGTATGGTTGAGCAGCTGCTTGAGTTGAAAATGGTGCAAGACTAGGGCAGATCTTGGTATGCTGATCAAATCACCAAAACTTCAGGGTAAAACTAAATAGCTAAATATTTAAATCTGTGGGTTCGTATTTCATACTATGAAATTGAATCCAACCCATATGCAACACAGCAACAAGACTAGATGTGGAGAGAATATTGCAACTATCTCTCCTAATGCTGTAGAATACTACCATTCATCAAGTTGTATGATGTTGGCTGTATTTGTTATATGTTGGTTTTTTAATTGTGAACCACCCAAGTCATTTAGGACTGAGGCAGCATATACAGGTGAAACTCGAAAAATTAGAATATCATGCAAATGTTCACTTATGTCAGTAAGGCAACTCAAG